GAGTTTATCTGACAACCAGGAATGGCAGGATTCCCAGGTCACGTGGTGAGTGTCCTTTGGCGGCACAGGGAGAGGGAGGCGGAGGGGGACACGGGGCACCGAGGCTAACGAGACAACCAGTGTGGCCCTGAAACAAGCCTTCTGTGGACCTGAGAACAGGCGAGCAGGCACCTAGGAGCAACTGAACCCACCCAGACTATTGTTCCAGGACTGCCGGAGGCCAGGGCACCAGAGATGGGAAGATGGGCTCCAGCTCCTTGCACAGCAGCACTGAAAGAAGGTTCTAGAACAGGGCAGAAGCAAGCATGTCTCTTGCTGGAAACACAGTATCCTAGGGAGGGAAACACAGTATCCTAGGGAGGGAAACAGAATAAAGATTTCATCAAGAACCTAAGCAGATCATGAGTCAAAAGCAGAAATGCTTTTGTGATTATAACATCTAAAAAATTTTAAATAAGAAAGACTTTGTATCTTAAAAGTCCAAAGATTTCTGTGAACTTGCAGTAATAATTACATGGCCTTTTATCCCTTCCTCAAGATATCTTTAAAGTTCACTGCAGCTATGAGGATTCAACGTAAATCACTCTGTTCCCTTTGAAATAAATACACTCCAAGCTATTTTGGTATGGGTCATGTTTAATAATGGTTTCACAATGTGTAGACATGAATACACGAACAATCTCACATTTAATATTATGAGATTGAGCAGACGGCCAAGTTATTAATATGTGGTTTAAATCCAGCACTCTGGCCTTTTGAGCACATGAGGCGGAATTTCTGAGTAATCGCCAGCAATGCTCACAGTCTGGCAGCCACATGGCAATCGAGAATACAGGTTGTTTTGTTATAAACATCAAAGGCCCCACGTTTGACCCAAAGGAGACCCCCAGGGTTCAGAGCCCTCGCAGAGCAACGCTACCATGTGGAACTGAGTCCAGCCACGAGGCCTCGGGGGTGCCTGTGGACCCTGCCACAGGCCTGCAGCTCACGGACGGGCTGGGGCATCCGTTTGTCCTGGGGCCTCTGCCCAGGCCCCTATCTCTTGAAGCTGGAGGCATTCTGGGACTGGAGAGAGAAACCTAGCCTCTTCTGGGACAAGCCCAGAAACCAGCTGGGACCAGGCTTGTCTTGGCTGGGCCGGCTGGCATCAAGCATCCGCTGTCGGGTCTGTGGGCCAGGCCTAGTGGGTAATGCTGTCTGGATTCTGACTCCGTGTGGCGGGTGGACATGCCCTGGGACGGCCGCCCTGGCACTTCAGCAGCTCCTGGCCGGGCCTCAGCAGGCTCAGCCAGAGGAGTTGACACTCCCAGAAGATACTTCCAAATACCATTCTGCATCTAGAGCACAGTTCTGCTGCCAGTTCTCGGGTTTCTGGTATGTGACCCTTAACGAAATGCCCGCAGAGATCCTTTGCCTGGCTTATTTCTGTGCAATGGCCCATACGCCCTGTGACTTCCTTTCCAGCAGGACTTCTAGCAGGGACTTAGACCCTGGTCTGCCTAGAGTCCTGCACACAGCTCTCCCAACTGTCACAGCAAGAAACTGGCTCCAGACAGAGCCTTTTGAACTCGGACCAGGGGAACAGGCATCGGGAGAGCCAGGTCTGGAGCCAAGTGCACACTGTCCCCAGGAGCCTGTGATGGAAGAGACCCCAGCTCAGCAGCAACACCCAACCTCAGTCTGCTCTGGCCCAAGGCTGCTGTTCTATGCCCAGGGCCACCAGCTGGGACTTGAGATGTGGAGCTACTGAGGTGGGGCACTTGCTTGTCTCAGATCAGGCCTGTCCCTGGGAGACTGAGCCATCTTTGGTCACAGGGTTTCCTATCTTGTGGATGGTTCCAGCCAGATGGTGAGGTCCTGGAACCCTACATCTGCAGCCTCAGGCAGGCAGTTTTGTAGGGAATGCTAAGGACGGTGCAGCAGAGCTGGGCTGAAATCCACCCCTCACTGAGGTCTGACCCTGTAGGAGTCAAGTTCCGTGGGCCTTAATGCCCTCGTTTGTAAAACAGGCTCTTCCTCAGCCTGTTTCAAGGACGGTGTGAAATGACAACCATAAACCTGTCTAGACAACGTCAAGCACAGTGCAGGCTCCTTCTCTGTGGTCAACTGCAGGAGCTCGTTTCCAGGATGCGGTCCGGGTTGAAGGGGACAAACAGCATCTCCAAACGGCAACGAGGCTGGAGAAGGACAGTGTGGCTAGTTCACACTTCTGTCCCCTTTCCTGAATATGTGAAACTGACATTCACACGTTATAGCGAAACCAGACGGGCACAGGTACACTGGTAGGCAACTCGGACTCATCTTTGTGAGATGCATTAACAACAGTCAAAATGATCTGAGCTTCATCCCCTCCTTTCCTTTGTCCAAACACTAATGAAGAGTGATATTGCCTGGGATTTCATGAGACAAAAGAGAATTTGCAGAGAGGGAGACAAGGCTTCCCTGTGTGGCCATCAAGCAGCATCAGAGCTCTTTAAGCAGGCCACCAGAAAGGGGCTGCTGCTATTTGTCACCTTCAGAGAGGTCGGGGCGGGGGGGGGGGTGTTTAAAGTGAGGGGTGGACCACAGACTGGATACCCGGCACCAAGAGTCTAAAGTCAGGTAATTAAATCGAGAAGCTACACGGAAGGGGCAGGTAGGGCAAGCCACCAGGTCCTCCTATTACTGTAAGCTCCTGCCCAGGCCTCACCTGAGCTCTTCTAGAGAGCCCCAGCATGGTGGCACCTGTGCCGACCACCCCATCCCTCCTCCCTGAAGCATCGGGACTCCAGGCAGCCTCAGGGAACTGTCGCCGTTCCTCTCACACATCCTCCTCCTGTCTTCCCCTCTTCCAGGCCCAAATTTAAGATCTCCAGACCTGAGTACAGTTCACAAAGGAGTGTTTACTGACATTAAAGAGAGAAGTCAGCATTGTTCGTAGCCATTTGTGTCCATCCCGATGACTTGTCTCCAGAAACCACCATCGTTCAAATTAGTGACTTATTTGCATGAATGTAATGAGATTCTATACCGCTAAGTAATGACTGATGTTACTCTACATGAATCTCAGGGCAAAGGGACATGTAACACACTCAACCAACCCACCACACTGATAAACCAACCACTAACCATCTCCCCCCAACTCCACTCCTGGCCTTGATACTGCCAAGAATCGTGGTTCCTGAATTTAGTGTGGACTGCTGAGAAGCAATAGAGGGCAGTGTCTGCCCGTCACTCCTTTCTGGCTACACTGTGAAGGTGGGATCTTTGGGGTGGGTGGACACAGGGGTGTGTACGCGGAAGGACAGCTCTCCCGCTCATCAAAAGCATTTGTATGGCTTTATACTTAACACCCCCAACAACATAAGCAGACAGATTCTTCCTCACTAAGCAGATGAGAAACGGAAGCTGAGGGAAGAAACATTTACTGCACACTTAATAGTAATTCATTAATTTTCCTTTTCCTACCTGCAGTTTACAGATGAGGAGACTGGGACCCCACAGGCACTCAACCTGTACGGGTCGCCTGACATTTGCTCACTTCCAAGGTCGCTCTTCCTCTGGGCCACATGAACCCTTAGCACAAGACTCTAGCTCCAGACTGGACCCCGAAGTCACCACAGGGCTGCAAACACATTTTTCTGAACGGACGCAGACACTTCTGCAACAAGAATGCTTCAATTTCCATTAGAAATTACAAATACCCACCATTTGCTTCGACATGGATGGAACTGGAGGGTATTATGCTGAGTGAAATAAGTCAATCAGAGAAGGACAAACGTTATATGGTCTCATTCGAGGAATATAAAAAATAGTGAAAGGGAATAAAGGGGAAAGGAGAAAAAAATGAGTGGGAAATATCAGAAAGGGAGACAGAACATGAGAGACTCCTAACTGGGAAACGAACTAGGGGTGGTGGAATGGGAGGAGGGCGGGGGGTGGGGGTGACTGGGTGACGGGCACCGAGGGGGGGCACTTGATGGAATGAGCACTGGGTGTTATTTTATATGTTGGTAAACTGAACACCAATAAAAATAAATTTATATATTTATTTATTTATATATAAAAAAAAAGAAGGCTTCAATTTCTATCATCAGGGCACGTGTTTCACATGTTTCACACCTTTCACATGCACCGTGCACAAGGCTTCCGGCACTCAGCAAAGGGAGGGCAGGGTGTCGTTACCCCACCTCCAAACACCATCAAGAACAGTAAGTAGACTGAATCTAGAAGATACCAGTACGTTGTCCACATCTATAATATACAGGTGGGCGGGGGATGGGCTGGATGGGGGATGGGCAGTAAGGAGGGCCCTTGTGATGAAGCACTCAACTCTGCCCCTGAGACCATTACTGAGTACGTTGTATGTCAACTAGCTGGAATTTAAATAAAAATAAAAAATAATAATAAAAATCTGTAATATACAAAGGATCCCATAATTTTAAAAAAAGAAAAAGACACAAGCAGCATTTTTCAACTTCACCACTATAAGATTTATTTTCACTGATACCTTTCAGTGTGTGTTTTTCTGTAGTAGTGAGGCTACCTCAGACCCATGATTCACATCATTCTAGAGACCACAGCCCGCCGCAGCCCAGCTGGTACCACCAATACAGTTAACCCGGCACCAGGGCCCAGAAAAGTCTGTGCAAAGAGCCTGACTGGAAGATATTACTGAAAAGCAATGAAATACACATTTCTTTTTGTTTCAGGTTGCGCAAATATAGAACTTTGCTACCTGATCAATTTTACCCGTAAAAAAACCCTGAAAAATCCATAAAATCTGAACTTTTCACATATTAAGAATCACCAAGTCTATTTTCAGACAACACAAAACTATCACTAAAGAAACTACACGTACATATTACCAAAACCTGTTATCTGTAGCTTTGTAAAAATTTAACTACATTAGTGTAAAATATTCAAATTAAACAATACTCCCACCTAGTGGATAAAGAAAAGCATCTGGATTATTCCAGTTGTCCAGGGCACCACCATAAAAAAAGGAACTAAAACTACAATGAATTTAAAATAAGTTTATTCTGTTTGAACACCTCCAAAGTACCCCCCTGAAAAAAAAGTAACCAACAAAACCATACTGCTGCTTCCCTTGAAGGAACGCATAGGTAATAACACACTTGATACAAAGCAATCTTTGGAATCATGTGTAAATGTTACTCTGAATCTCATTCGTTGTCATCAATTTCTTCAATATTTCTGTGCTCTGGGGAATATTCTGGAAGAAAAGAAAAAAATCGTCAGTACAGTGAGATGGAGAATTCAGTTAGAATCCCTACCCTGTCGGGACGTAAACAAAGAATGGCACCCGGCAAAGGGACCAGGCCCTGCCCTGAATCTCCTCTTTCAGGAGGTAACACATCTGAGCATCTCAGCACCCCAAAGTGTTGAAGTAGATGAAACATCAAAGCCTGTCCTCCCCTTGCCCAAAACTCTCTGGTGGTGTCTCACAGCCTCCACGCCGCCGTCCCAGGGACCTCTGGCGGGAAGTGACACTCCAGCCCAGCCTCTCTCCCACAGTCCCACAGGAGCCCTCCCACCCCTCTGAACCCAGTTCCGCACTCGCTCTCCTCAGAGGCGCTCTGGCCCTGCCCATTCCTGCACTCCCCGCTCCCTCTGCTCACTTCTGCCCATGAGGATCCATCTTTCAGATCCAGCTCAACTGCCACCTCTCCTCATATGAACCTCACCCTGCTCTGGCAGGCATGCAACTGCGTGCTCTCCTCCATCTGGCAGGCACAGTAAGTGGCCTGCACCGCCTCCAGGCTGCGGTACTAAAATGGCTCTGGAGGCACTCAAGAAAATTCCATGTCACTGACTGCATGCCACCCTCAGATCAAGAGACTAGGAGTGAACTCAGGACGACCGTGTGTGCTCACGTTGGAGAGACAACTGCACTCTTCAAATGGCCACTGCACCCTCCGCAAATAATTGTTTCCAGGGAGAAATGAATAGGTTAAAAGGAGTTATCTCTAAGCCCTCTTCAAACAATACTCCTAGGGACTGGGTGGCTCAGCAGTTGAGCGTCTGCCTTCAGCTCAGGGCGTGATCCCGGGCCCAGGGATCCAGTCCTGCATTGGGCTCCCCACAGGGAGCCTGCCTCTCCCTCTACCTGCCTCTCTGCCTCTCATGAACGAATGATATTTTTTAAAAAAGAAAAATAAATAAAAGGAATACTCCTAAAAGACGAAAGTGGACTTAAACTCCACATGATGATTTACAATTCTCCCAACAAGTGCCAGTGCTTCTGGGGCGCCTGCGTGCGGAGCACCGCACCACACCAGGAACAAAACAGCCACAGGCCCTGCTCTCACGATGCAGTGGGAAGAGCCAGACTGTGAGCCACAGAAGCAAACCAAACCATTAGCAAACCAAACATACTCTGAAAGCAGCGCTAACTATAAAATAACTCAGTTTGTCAGAAAGATTATCCATGACTCCAGCTAATTTGAAATTATGCTTGAATTATACAAACTTAGTTTTAATTTTTACTAATTCAACAAATGGCTGGGCATGCATTCTCCTATATGCCAGGTACATGATGACCTGGGGATACCAAAATGGAAAAAGGCGGTCCAATCCCCCGGAGCTGATCATCTAGCAAGCAAACGAATTTAATGAGGTCTGTGAAACAAGCTAAGTCCAACAGACCTTGCCAGAAAAGGTGTCTTAACACCAATGGTCATTCCAGACTAAAAGAGGACTCCCTCTGGGGAACGCTGGTGTAGTCTCTTCCCTGTACAAGACAAGTTCTCACCCAGGATCCACGCACTTTCAGCAAGTCTCTTAGGGAAAGAATGGGAGTTCCTAAACTATCTGGAAGTACAGGCAAAACTTCTTGTGTACATGTCTCAATATGAATTTTTCTGGGGAAAGAGCTCACGGACACATACAAATGGACAGCAGGAAACAGGTTTATCTCGCCTTCACACAGCCAGTCCCATGCAAAATTAAGTGAATAATTGTTCATAATTTGATCCATGCTGTGCTCAAAAATGCCTTCTTAAGTATTACAAACTTCCAAATGAATTAGATACAGAAACTTCCTAAACAGTCAAAGCATCTTTCTACAGAGCCGTCTGGGATTTATATCAATGCACTGCACTGATCTACCATGAAAAAGCATGAACAAAACATTTCTCCAGTTATAGAAGTACATATAAAAGAGAGGGTGACAATCTAATTCAAAGTGCCAGACCAGAACACTTTAAGAAAAAAAGATCTCTAAGTGTTGCTTAACTTTTAAATCGGTACCATAAATTTACCATTTGTTATTAAATTCGTTCTAACTCAGCTATTAGTCAATGAGCTGAAACCTTACCTTAACCAAACCTTTCAAGCTTCTGGAAGAAAGGACAGGCCTGAAAGCTTCCACTGTGATCAGGTCTAACTTCATCACATCAGTGTAACACAAGTACAGAACTGCAGGGATCTTCCACACTTGGCAGTAACTCAGAACTAAGTAACACAAGGAAAAGCCCACTTCAGTCTTCTACTAGGTGATTTTAAACTAAACACCTCTAAACAATAAAGGATACTTTTAAAATCAGTTGTCTCTGTTGCCTCCTTCAAAGTGTTCACTGCTATATCAAACCATTTATAAATGCGTATTTTCTTTCAAAGCCAATTTATTTTCCCTAAGTAATTTCTCACTCTGAAAATATTATTTTGCATTTCCTGAATATACTGAGACATAGCTTAAGTAAGTACAAGATTAAAATTTTACTGAATATAATAATATAAATTAGCCATTTATTCCAATAAACATTTAAGGGGAAAAAAATACTTATTAACAAATAACAATTATATAACATATTAGCTATCAAAAAGTAAGTGACAATTTCATTTCGATGTGATGCTAGAATATAATTAGCCACAGGAATAAAAAAATAGTAAAGAAACTATCAAGATTCAGTAACTTATTTTGACAATGAAAACATACTTTATCCACTTTTCATGCACCAATGATTTACATTTAACATTGGCTCACATGATTAGTTATCACAAATCAAAAAGAACCAGAGCAACTCTCCAACCTAACCGTTAAGAACTCTGCCCTAGGGCAGCCCGGGTGGCTCAGCGGTTAAGTGCCTGCCTCGACTCAGGGCGTGATCCTGGTCCAAGGATTAAGTCCTGCATTGGGCTCCCTGCATGGAGCCTGCTTCTCCCTCTGCCTGTGTCTCTGCCTCTCTGTGTCTCTCATGAATAAATAAATAAATAATCTAAAAAAAAAAAAAAAACCAAACCCTGACCTACTCTCACATCATAACTGTGTGTCTAAACAATGTTAAAACTCAAACCAGAGGCACCTGGGTGGCTCAGTGGTTGAGAATCGGCCTTTGGCTCAGGTCCTGATCCTGGGATCCCAGAATCGAGTCCCACATCGGGCTCCCCACAGGGAACCTCCTTCTCCCTCTGCCTGTGTCTCAGTCTCTCTCTGTGTCTCTCATGAATAAATAAATAAAATCTTCAAAAAAAAACTCAAACCAAACACAACATACTAGGAACAACAGATATTAAAGATTAATAGCAATACACTGGTATCAATCATCATGAATGAACTACCTTAAAAAGACCTTAATAGTCAAAGTAATAACCAATAACCAACAAAGCAACAAGATATAATGTAAATGTTGCAAATTTTGATACCACCTGCTGCAGGAAGATCATGTACAATATTTGGTTGTTCAAGCAGTGGACAGCATGGAGGCTCTTTGAAATTCTGTGTTTTTAGGGCTTTCAGGAAAGGAGAATGAAGGCTGCTGGTAGATTCTGAAGTTTTATAGTCAGTAACATGTCGACACGTGAGAATAATTACTTGCATATTCTTCTTTGGACAAGAACCAAAGACCTAAGGCAAAATTGACCTCAAATTAAAATATACATATAATTCTGTTACAGAATAGAAACATTCCTCTAGCTCTTTACCTAACACCCTTCACAGTAGTATCCAGGTGGTGGTGTCCAATGAAAAACAGAACACAGGCTTTGCTGTCCCCTCACCGGGGTCTGATCTTGGTTTTGTCACCTTCCAGTATGGTGACCTTTCTAAGTCACATTCCTCAGCTGAGGACACTATTACCCACCTAAGCAGTAGTCCTGTGATAACACCAGGACTGGCTTCTAGGGTAAACCAGCTGCTTGATGAAGAGACCTATTCTAGTACAGATTATTTCTTAGAACACTGCTTTACTCTCAAGCACATTCAGACCAGCAGTGTATTGGCAAAATGAAGTGATCCCCCCTTCTCTAATCCATGTACTCATGTGTTCAAGAACACTTTAATAAAGATGCTTCTAAGCCACAAAGTATATTCATAATGGTGTTATATCAGTGCCTTAATTCTTAAATGCACTTTTTAAGTTATTTCACTTACAGGCAAGTTTCAATCACTCTAGACCTTTATTTCCTCCTAAGTGTGTATTTCATGAAGTTCCAAGGACCCTTTTAAGCTTTTAAAATCTATGGTGATGTAAACAAAAAAAAGTTGTTTTTTTTTTAAAGAAAAGAGTAGACTTTAGGCCATTCCACCTTGTTGGGAAGTATTTTATGAAAAGAAGAAAATGGCTATTTCCAGTAACAACAGACCTAAAGATTTTACACACCATTAATGATTTGTAAGACTAATTTCATTAGCTCACAGCTTTGTAAATAAACACAAAATAGTGAACTTCAGCAGGTACATCCCATCTAAAAAATACATTACTCACAAGCCCTAATTTATCATTCTCCCTACAACACCTATAGTCTGAATCCACACTTGACCATTCCATTAGACTGTATGTGGTATTGAGGATTTTGTGGCTGATAGAAACCAAACAGCAAGGGGAAACAAAGAGTGTCCCTAAGGAAAAAAAAATACTGATTAAAAAGTTTTTAAAGTCTGGAAGAGAAAACTTGTCCCAGAGTACAAAAATAACAGTTTTGATGGAACAGTCATCCTACTTAAAATAAAAAACACAAATTAACAAAGCGGTTTCCTCCTCTTCTGAGAACTCAGGAAAGCTATGGACTCTCCTCAGAAAAATAGACACCACTACATAACACAAAATCACATGTGATTGTGAAAAGGATCACAGACCTTCTTGAATAATTCCTCATTTAATAAAGCGTATTTAGTAACTTTTTAAAAATGTTTTCAAGTATGCCAATCTGGTTTAAAACAAGTGTATGCCAAATTTTTTATTTCCAATGAATTTAATTTTAATACCTAAGAAATATACCTAAAATTTAAGCTGAAATGCTGCTGAGATATATATAAGACCTACTTCATTTATAAATAATACACACCTGCCAAAATTATGATTATTCTCTAAAACTCCTAAATTCTTCACTGAAAAGTATGTTTTATTGGGCATGTAACATGCCCAGTTTTCCCATAAAATGAAGACTCAATTAAGCCATCCTAAGACAAACTGATGTAATATTTTGGAATTTGGAACAAGTAGCAGCTGAGTGCCAACCCTCTGAATCCAGCTCCCATCTGTTTCCTGCCTCAAAGCCCAGAGTCGTCCCCAGCCCACATCTCTCCAGCCTATATTCCCAGTGCGCATCTCTCCAGCCTATATCCCCAGCCCACATCTTTCCAGCCTGCATCTCTCCAGCCTCCATCCCCAGCCTGCATCTCTCCAGCCTTTACCCCCAGTGCCCATCTCTCCAGTTTGTATCCCCAGCACACATCCCCAGCCAGCATCTCTCCAGGCCACACTCCCACCAGACTGCATGGTCAGGCCACCAGTCCACATTGTCAGGCCATTTTGCACCACTAGCCATGCCCTTGTTCTGTTTCATGTGAGTAGCCTGTTTTTCTTTCAAATGTAACAATACGGTAGATAGGAAGAATTCAACTGTTTTAGGCTTCTATGACCTAAGTCTTTAGCACATTGATTAATTTGTTAAATCTGTTTCTATTCTTGATATTCTGTAACAAATTACTACAATATTTTTAAGAAAAAAACAAAGACTTCCCTGCTTCCATATTTGACTGTGTAGGCTCAAGTGTTAAGATACTGAACCCTTAAAAAAAAGCAGCCCACCAGTCTTCATTCCCTTCTTACCTTTTCTAGCCACTGATACTGCTGATCTTCAGCAACGTAGCAATTGCACTGACAGAGGACAACCTAGAAAATCATATTCCAAGTTTTTTGTCAGGTCAAATAAATTTTATACATACTCCAAGTTACCACCATATACATATCATTTGAATTCTAAAATAACCTTCAGATAACATTTGTTTTTTGAATTTGCTATTGGCTTATTTCTTTATTTTTAAAATTTAAAAATGAAGCCACTACTGGCAGTTAACAGGAGAACGAAGTACACAGGAATGGAGTGACCACAAGAGTTTGCACAGGAGGCACTTAAGATACTACCAGTAAAAGCTACCAGAGTCTTCTTTATGACACAGGAATGATACCAGGCCTGCTGCCCTTCTGGGTGTCACACACTGTGAAGACCAAATGCAAAATAAACATAAATACTGTAAAACTAAGTATTACACAAATGCTAGTGAATGCCAGTCTGACAGCAACTCAGTCCAAATGGCATTCTAAAATGGTACTGATGCCTGTGACGATAGTATTATTTTAGAAACCAAGTTCCAACCTACATGTTCAAAATGAAATAATCTGTAATGCCACAATGCCATTAAAGGATGGATTCCTGATTATCAATGCTCCTGGAATGATACTACCCAGAGAACTCAATGTCTTCTACTAAAACACTGCCAGAAATGCTAACAATTACCCAAGGGGATCACAGAAGGGAAAAAAGGTACACAGGCGTGGGGGAAAAAGAAAAAGACTAGATATGTAAAGACTACACAAGCAGGTTCTGCATAATCAAAAGATACCTAATAAATGGTACAACTAGACGAGGTGACCAAAATTCCTTACTGGACCTTCACAATCTATTCTAAAGTGCAACCTTTCCAATTAAAGACCAGATCAAAAAAATGCTTATTTTCATTATTATTTCCTATAAATGCTGGATATACATAAAAATCCTTATGGAAACTTAAGTAACTTTGGATTACATGTTAAAAAAACAAACTGTAAGTATTACAAAATAAGACCTTACAGTTTACAAGGCTAATATTTGGTCCTTACCTAGTTAAAATAAGCCAGATTATAACATTAGGGAATTAGTGGCTTCTTCCATCATTTGAACCCCTGCCCTGGCCCTTGTTCAAGTGCTCGGCAAGTACAGAATAGTTCCCTGTCAGACAAGCAGATGGGGAGACACATCACCTGCCAGGTCACCTCATCTGCCTGACTCTCACATCACCCACTATGTTGTGTTCTCTGAATGGACCCGAGATTAAGATTCGAATGCACAGGACACAAGGAAATCACTCAGCACTGGCTATGGAATGACTCTTAGGACTTAAAAATCAGGACAAATGAGGTAGGGTAAAAGCTCAACTGTCAAGAGAATTATGCTTAGAATGCACAGAGCATTCTTTTGTTCAACAAACATTAACTGAGTTTCTAGGACGTACCAGGCATTTGCTAAATACTGGGCATACCGAACTTCCAGCTTTTACAGAGTGAACACATTTTTGCACAGAGTTACCACGTGAAATAATTTTTTGAATTACAGCAAAATTTGAATGTCCACAATCTATGGCTTTTTTCTAACAAAGTTCTATCAGAACTTCCTAGGAGCTTTACCAACACTGTGTATGCCATGTTAATATTTATACAAATAATACAGGGCACTAGCACTGCCTACAGGCAGAATTCCTCAGCCCAAAAGCAGATATACAGGAACATGAAATTCAAACGAACACATGAATGACGCCTAAATGGCTCCCCCTGAAGCATCCAAGTCCCACATACCGAAGGATTCGATTTTAGATGATAAAACATACAGAAGGACTTTGCAGGGGACAGATGTGTAGTGTCTGTTGTTCTACACCATTCATTCCAGAGTTTAGCACAACCAACTTCTTCCCAGGCTCCTGAGTTCATAACAAATGATGACAGAAATGCTGTGAAAAACAATTCACATAAGTTAGTGCCTGGTTCTGCAAGTTGCATATTCTATAACCAAAAATAATTTCAAGTTACTCTAGGAGAGTCTGTAAGACCACTGACCTTACAGCACCACTTAGCAGAAAAGGAAACTGAGGCCTCAAGAAATTAAAGGCCATGCCGTAAGTACAGATGGTTTCAGAGGAGGACCTGACAACACAGATTTACTGACATGCTTTACCACACTTTCATGAAGTTTACACTTGGCTGGAAAATTTTAGGAGGGTAGAACTTCATATAAACGAGTCAGTAGTTACTTACCAGGTACTTACTATGTCCTGCAAGCACTAGGGCTACCTGACCGGGGAAGAGATCTACTTCACCAGAGATCCCGAATGCCCACCCCCAGAGCCTGTGAAATGACAGGCTGTACATTTTAGCTGTAAAATGACACAGGTTTGTGCACGTGTACACTGTTCAGCTGAGCTCTGCACTGTTCTGACATTAATCTATCAAATGGAGTCAGTCATGTATGTGCAGACCTTCACACTGAAGTGTTCAAAAACGTTAGAGATCATCACTGTTATTTTTAGAGCTCTCATCATGTTCTCAAAGGAGCCTGTTAATTCAAGAACATTTAAGAACCATGGCTCCAAGGGGGCCATGTACACGCGCCCCCTCTGTCCCTTGAAGTCTGGCCCAAACAGGCCCAGAAGCCAGAGGAAACGTGGATACCGAAACAAACCGTAAACCCAGTTCCCAGGATTTACAACTTCCTGAATCAAAGAACACTTTCTTTAAATCTTATTTTTTAGGTTTACTAGAAAGATGGTATCACATGAGGAGGCACAGATATTACTCAAAGTTTACCCAAAAACTGTAGCCTTTTCTAAGTCAACTTTCTGCTTTAACTTTTTCTAAAAAAAGTAACAGACATTTGAAATATTTTATGATGTAAAGAAATAAGTAACTTTGGATTGTGAGTGTTTTTTTTTTCCTTTTTAAGTTTTTTATTTAAATTCAATTTAGTTGGGGATCCTTGGATGGCTCAGTGGTTTAGCACTGCCTGCAGCCCAGGGCATGATTCTGGAGACCCAGGGTTGAGTCCCACTTCGGGCTCCCGGCATGGAGCCTCCTTCTCCCTCTGCTTGTATCTCTGCCTCTCTCTCTCTCTCTCTCTCTCTCTCTCTCTCTATCATGAATAAATAAAATCTTTTTTTAAAAAATAAATAAAATAAAATAAAATAAATTCAATTTAGTTAACATATACTGTATTATTAGTTTCAGGGGTAGAGGTCAGTGATTCATCAGCAGCAAAGAACACGCAGTGCTCATCACATCAAGCATCCTCCTTAATGCTCACCACCCAGTCACCCCATCCCTCCCACCCACCTCCCACGGCTTTTGTTCTTTCAACAGAAGTCCAATCTAACACAAGTCTACTCACCTACTGCATTATTTCCTATAGCAATGATGAACTTGGAGCAAGGATATTTTTCCAGCAGAGAAACTTCCAAAGATGTTTTTGTCTGTCTTCGAAAGAGCCGCACCTCCCTAACAGAAGAAACAAAAGACAAAAAAAATAAAAAGCAACTTAGATCCAATTAGTGCTGTATTACGAGAGAAAGGACACTAGAGGCATGACTTTGTAATAAACAATAGGCAGGCTTTAATTTCAGAAAGAATGTAATTATCACCTAAGGAAACAAGAGATTCGGGCAACGCTATTCCCGTCTGAATGCAAAGTTCACGGAGGACCCCACAAGCGAGGTCCACGCGACTCACTGAACCATCTTAGCATCCCCGAAAGGCGGGACAGGTGGGTACAGCGGGCAGTAAGCAGCAGCAAGTGCGGGGCAGCCTGGGTGGCTCAGCGGTTTAGCGCCGCCTTCAGCCCAGGGCCTGATCCTAGAGACCCGGGATGGAGTCCAAGTCGGGCTCCCTGCATGGAGCCTGCTTCTCCCTGTGTTGCTGCCTCTCTCTCTGTGTGTCTTTCATGAATAAGTAAATAAAATCTTTAAAAAAAAAAAAAAAGAAACAAAGAAAGAAAGAGCAAACACCTCCTTTCTAGCAGCCAAATACTGAACTTGCTTGCACCTGACCACACCTCTAAAAGAACATCCTTCGGGACGTCCAGATGGCTCAGTGGTTGAGCACCTGCCTTCCGCCCAGGGTGTGATCCTGGAGACCCCGGGATCAAGTCCCACGTCAGGCTCCCTGCGTGGAGCCTGCTTCTCCCTCTGCCTGTGTCTCTCATGAATAAGTAAGTAAAATCTTTAAAAAAATAAAATAAAATAGAGGAAGATGCATCTGCAGAGCGCAGGTAACGGGCACCCAGGTTAAGTGAGACACATGCAGAGCGTGGAACGCCTTTCATTCGGGTCCAGGAGCCTCAGCCGGGGTGAGGAGGAGGCGCTGCTCTCCACGCGATGTGCGCACCTGGTCAGGCCTCCGACTTCCACCAAGTCGCTGTCCAACGTCCCGGTGGTCACCCCCCGGCCACGGGGTCTAAAACGTGAGTGTCCGGGGTCCTAACTGCACATTCGCAACAAGATGCCTGCAGCGTCCCAGGCGCGTTCTGCAAACCGGGGCCCCAGGGGCTGGGGGACAAAACACCTGCGGCGCGACCGTCACACCTGCCCGACGCACGTGACCCGGCCGGGGTCAGGGGTCACCTACGGTCCTCTCCCACCGCCTGAGAGAGGCCGCTGGTCCACCTGCTACGGATCCCGAGGCGGACGCTACGAGGCCGACGGCCACGCCCGCGACGGCCGCCCGGGAACGCGGGGCCCGCGGCTCCGAGCCACCGACCCGGCCTCACCGCTTCCGCGCCAGCTGCCGCCGGACCTCCCTGTCCTCCGCCGTCTCCCTCCTGCCCTCCTCTTCCTCCTCCTGGTCCTCCGTCCCGGCTCGGCACGGCGCCTTCACCACCTCGCCGAAGAACGTGGCCGCCATGCCGCCGTCACCACCTCCCGGCCGGGCCGCGGCGCCCCAGCACGGCGCATGCGCCCCGCCCCCCCAGCCGGGCCTCGCCACGCCCCCTGCACCGCCCCCCCGCCCCGCCCCCCCGCGCGCGCACGCGCACCAGGCCGTAAGCCCGCGGGGACACCGAGAGGTGGGATGACTACGGGCTAGAGAGGCGAGCGGGCGGCGGGGCGTCCCTAACCCCGCAGGTGCCTCGGCGCGCGGCCCCTCCCGCCCCTCCCGGCCTCCTGCCGGGGTCCGCGCCCCTTCTTCGTTGCGGGATGCCGGGGGGCGGGGGGGGGAGGTGCGAGGGCGGGAAGAAACACAGCGCTTCGTGGTGGTATAAAATGCGACTTTTACTGCGGCAATAAGAATTTCACATTTCAAAAGCGGATGATTGTCAAGCCGATCCGGAAGAGTTCATGAGAATGCAAAAATAGTTACTTTTTTTTTTTTTGAAAACGTGGCCGTTTCCGATACAAAATTTATTTCCGCCTTCTCCTCTTCGTTAATGAGCAAAGAATGCAGTTCTCGAATCGGCCTGTTCTTTAGAGCGCGCTGGGAGGCGGAGTGTGCGGGGCGGCGGCCGCGCCCGCCCGAGCCAAGGGCCGCGTCCAGAACTTCTGGCCGTGAAACGTAAAAATCCCTTCCCGTTGGCTTTGCACCGAAAACAGAGGACAGACACTGTGCAGCACTGCGCCACACAGGGCAGCACCGCGCAACACTGTGCAGCACCGCGGAGCACCGCGCAACACTGTGCAGCACCGCGGAGCACCGCGCAACACTGTGCAGCACCGCGGAGCACCGCGCAACACTGCAGCACTGCGCAACGCTGTGCAACACTGTAGCAGTGCGCAGCACTGTGCAACACTGCGCAGCACTGCAGCGCTGTGCAACACTGTAACACTGCCCAGCACTGTGCAACACTGCATCACTGCGCAAAACTGTGCAGCACTGTGCAGCACTGCCCCGACCTGCCGAGTGCTCGTCTGGGGTCAGGCAGGGCTGCTTGAGGTATTCAGAAGAATCTCCGAAAGCTGCTACAAGTACACCTTGCTTTGAGACGTGGAGAAATAGTATCAACAAGAACATTTACATTAAATCCGCCTTAGCGATTTTACCTATTACTGCAAAATAAAGATTCGGGTTTTGAAGCAGAATTTGAACATGTAAGCATCAACAGTACATGACCAAATTGCTATCCGGTGAGAGCTTAGGAAACCTGGTGTGTAGCTAGCTGTTAGCAAGATTACCAGGGTGATGTTTCTAAGCTGCATGGAGACTCCTGGGTTATTTTGTATTTTATAGGATGCCTGAATTGCAGAATAAAAAGGATGTTTGGCTATCACGTTGTCTTAGTCCTTTTGTCGAGTAACTAACTTGTCATATTTATCAGTAAAATTTACCGCGATTTGATTTCACAATTACATTATGAAGAAATCATTTCTAGAAAGCTGATTAAAATTATGAGCAGGGTAATCATAATACATTTGGCCGTGATTTAAATTTTGTGTACACTTCAGAGTTTTACAATAATGTTAAGTTTTCAACAAATGCTATTTCATGCAGTTACAGTAAGTTTAGGCAAAGCACTTAAGGAAAAAAAAAAAGGCAAAGAGATGTTCAATTTAAACACTATACCAGCAGAGATTCTGTTATGAAAGAAGGCCGGTGACACCTTCTGGAAATTAACCCCATCACAGAACACTGTAAATTCAAAACAAATTATTTGATTACACAGAAACTGACAAATTTTGCATAAAAGAGTCTTAGCTGATATTTAAATATATTCATTTTATGGTATTTGTTGAGGATAGAACATCCCCAGAGAGAAATCTCTGTAAAATTAAGGGTAAATATGGGAGAGGAAATAGATTTAAACATTTCATTAGCAATCAAAAATCAAACCCCATGCGCCTAAAAATATTAGTTTATTAGGAATTCTTCCTTTCCTCACCTGTAGTAACAAGATACTGGTATCGGTATTTCAGATGAAAGTATATATTAACAGAGCAAAGGACACAGACTCTGTAGGTTAGAAATATTCCGGCTTATGCTAAGGGGAAGAAAAAAAAAAAAACGAAAACGACAAAACGCCTTTTTTTTAAGCAGACATGCAACCACAAATTTCTCAAGTAACCTAGACACTTGGGTCTATCTGTATAACCAAAATATATGCATTACATTAGTCTTTTAATGAAAAAAGAATAGAAACTCTTAGGTTTCTATATTTTACTTTTTTCAGATTTACACATGCAAATCATATATTAATATTCACAGATAATTTTAAATGGGAAAACAACTTGCTTCTAACAATTCACTTTTTCAATAGCATGTTACTGTGTTAAAAAAGACTTAACAGTGCATTCATTTAATCTGGCGATCTTAACTTCAACAAATACCTGTTAACAAATTAAACCTCATTGCAAAGAATTCTTTACAGTATCAAGATCAGATTTTCTAATCCTAGCAAAGGCCACAATGGAAGAGCCAATACATGCTGCCATTAAGTTTGTTGTGATGAGACTGTAATTAATTTGCTAAAAGTGTTCCTAAAGTACTAATTTTTAAGGTGCTGTAGAGAAATGTAAGAGGATGTCACTGTTATCATCCAAAAATATGACTGTTTTGATCTTCATCTGTACCTTTTCTAACTGATTAAACCTAAGACCTTGCCTATCATGAGGCACGTTTCGGCATCTCCGTAAATGCTGTTATGTGCAAGTAAAAATGAGGAAAAGAAGTTGTGATAGTCACATTCATTGCCTTCATAGAAAAATATATATTCCCTGAATTACTTGTATCAAGAGGTCACCATTCAGTATGAATTCCAATATTATAGACAAAATAAGACATTAATGGGTTTTCACTAATTGCCTGTTTCCCACTCTACTTCAGAGCTCACTTATCACCATCCCCATCAATGAATCCCCAGGTCCTTCTAGTTTGCTTTTTGGCTTTTGAAGTTGTGAACTATAGGGATTGGGTCTTTAATATTAAAGTATTTGCTTGGTCAAATAGGCTCAATGGCACTTCCTCTGGAAATGTGCCTAGAGTTTTCCCTCTTACTTCTCAGTAATGACACCGTAGTCATGCTGGTCTGAATTTTTATTCTCTGATGCAGAACCCTCAAAATTAGCATTAGGTTGTGATGTTGACATTTATTTTCAGTCCTTGAAGTTTTTGCTACAGACCCTGTGCATTTCCCATTATTTTCTTCCTCTAAGGAATCAAGAGCTTTCCTCAACGCCCTTCCTTTCTGGAAAGGAACAGCCTTAGGACAGGCCACTTGTCTCTTCTTTCCACCTCTGCACTACAGGCTTCAACGTCTGTTCCCCCCTCAGATTCTCTGTAGTGGGTTTCTGTACAAAGGCTCCCTGGAAGGAAGGCTTCCTCCCACTGTGACCTGCTGGGTTATGGCTTTTAGAAAATCCCTGGAAAAGGTGCCAACCAGGGATTAACTTTGGCGCTCAGAGCAGAATGCAACCGCCAGTTTTCTTGTGGCCCCCGATTGCTTTCAAATCCCACTTCCACATTTCCATGGTCACTATTATGCGGTTTCTTTCCAGGATCTGAACCGCCTTAAAAAAGGCATTTTGCTATTAGTGTCTTCTAGCTCTTTTTCACTGTCAGAATTTCTGGTTGTATCATCCTCTTTATAAACACTCAGTAATTTTTTCTTAGCCTCAGCAGAAGCATTTCGATGGGGCAGCTTTCTGCTGCTCTTCCTAATCCAGACATTTTCTGGTCCTGAAATCGTTTCCTTTAGATTACTCATTATTTTTATTTTATTTGCAGCCACAGCGGCACATCTGCGGAGAACTTTCTCAGGCACCATGTTTGCTTTCAGAGTCTCACTAGGCATTTGCACTGCAGCCTTCTGATTATGCATGCATGTTCTCATTTTTGTATTGGGTTCTCTGTCTCTAGGAACAGATTCTGAAAAATGAGTGAAAGTTCATGTAAATGCAAAAACCTTAACACAAGATTTTACTACAATTCCTCAATAACACATTCCTAAATGGTAAATTTTAAAACTACTCACATTGCTAAATAAGTAAAAAACTTAAGTGATTCTCATCAGTGAGTGATACTACATGCTTTTGACATTGAATCTTCTATTTCCTGATCAACAAAAGGAAGTCTCGGGTAGTTATGCCACCTGGCATACTTTCTAATCTGGAAGGACAACTGTCTCAACAGTATCAGGTTTGTGAGAATGTACCTTGAGCATCATAAAGCATTAAATTCTTGGTATCATTTCAGATATTCTCTGTTGAACTACTTTAGGATATTCAACAGGAGTTCTGAGATAATTTTCCTAGAACCTCAAAGAGAAGGCAATGCCATTATGACTATGCGGACGCGGCATCAGCTCTGCTTCAAGAAGGTCCCTGAAGTTTTCATTCCATCAGCCTTTAGTCAAAACATACATGAAGCAGTAGATAAAAAGGAACTTCCTATTAGTTTTATCTAAAATACGGTTTTAGTCCTAGATCAATTTTTCATAGCAAATTATTAAATCCTGGTTTCCTTACTATTCAAATATTTTCTGAGCTGGGTATATGCCAGGCATCGAGGGATCAGGATAAAGATTCTAAAACAAAGTCCACACATATTAACTTTACTTGCTGTAAAAACTAAAAGGGGGGGGGTGCGGTAAGGAGCGTGAGAAACGCACTTGAAAAACCGAACAGTCATGGGGCAAGAAAGCTTCCATTGAGAAGTGTTATTGTTGCTGAGCTAGGAACCTTGGAGGGATCCATCAGACAAAGGACAGGACGAAAGCCACTACGGAGAGGC